GGCCCTGAGCATTGGCCATAATCCCAGGCCTGTGGAAAGCTTTGCCAGAGCTGCATAAAACATGGCAGCCCCTGTCACAACCCCTTCCTGTGGATGCTGCATGTAACAAAGCTGGCAGGACCTGGCTCAGGCCATAAGCAGGGCCTCCACTTGGGTTTATTCTTGTGGGTGACTTCAATTAAGGCCAATGAATGCTCTTCTAGAAGAGCCTGCCTTTGTGCTGGCTTCCCCTCAGAAGGCATTTAATGGGGAGTGACAAGCGCCAGCATCTTTCAGCACAAATGAATCTCTGTCACTCGTGGAGTTTAACCCAATTAAGAGCCAAGTGAATAATTGCCTGTTTGAAGGGAGTGAAAAACCAGGGTGTTTTGGACCCAAAATACAAGTGAGACATCCTCCTCTTTACTGCAAATTATCATTCCCCCCAGAAGGCTCTGCCAGCTGTCAGTGAGTGAGAAAGAGAGAGAGAGAGAGAGAGAGAGAGAGACGGGGGAGGCAGCCAGTATTAGAAGGACTTTTCTTAGGTTATCTGGCTTCAATTTTCCTATGGCATGTTTCTAGGTGACTGGGTTTTGTGTCATTTCAAAATGACTCCTGCCCACCCGTGTGTGGAGGTCAGGGAATGCCTCTATAGTTAAAAAAAATACAGAGTAAATAAATATAATTACTTGTTGGATTTTGTCAACGTGTCGCTTGACCTGAAAGATAAAATTCAGAACAGTGGACAGCTCACAGGCAACGTGTTCCCTTCCAGAGCCTGTTATTAAAATAGTCCCATCAGAGGCTTTTCTTCCATTAGCTCTGACTCAGCTGCTCAGGGCCTGGTTTCATTGCCTGGATTATCTGCGTTTTTTTCTCCCTGAACCCTGCATTATAATTTTTCAGTACTGCCAGGAGGCCCATTAGGAGAGGAGAGGGAGGCTTGCTTCCTTGGTAACTGTGCTGTGTTGCAGGGCTGGATAGGTCCAGGGAAGAGTGTGGGGGTAAGGACACTGAGAGGCAGCATCGTATGGTGGGGCTGAGACTTCAGAGTATAGCATGGACCATGCTCCTGGAGCTGCCAGTGGCCTGCTGAATGACCATGAACAAGTCACCTACCCTTCCATGCCTCAAAACTGAATGACACTGACTTCCTTGTTTTGGAGACAAAGAGCAAGGCACTGTTATTATGCCCCTCACACTGACAGACTATGGTAAAAGCATAGCATCAAGATTTCAGTGCTGAGGATTCCGAAGTTAGGCATGCCACAATTAAAGAAGCCTTCATTCACCCACCTATTTTGTGCCTATGCATAATGACACCATCTTTAATTAGCTGATTGCATGCCGTTATTTTCCAGGGGATCCCTACTTCATTCAGTTCATGATGTTCACTTAAGATGCAATTCAGCATCTTGCTTGCTCCTTGTCATTTGCAGTGTATCCCCAGGTCTTATCTACTGCACACAATTCAAACTCTGCTTTGAGGACAGAGGAATTAAGGCCTTTATAGACTTTTCCTGGGGCAGTACTCATGATAATGTCTGAGTGCTTTTGAGACACCAATGAATTTGATTTCATAGCATGCCCGTGTGATGGGGTGGGGTCCTGGGGGGGTGGGGGGGCACAATGAGGAACTGAGGCACAGACAGATTAAGGTGAAAGTCCACTAAAGCTTGGGTGTCCAGTGTGAAGAATGTGGCTTGACTTTCAGATTGCATAGCACAATATAGATGACCACAGCTAGAAAAAGCACAGCTGGTTCCTGGGTCAGTAGCATCCCCTGCCTCTTCTGCCACCCACTAGGATATATCTAAAAAGCACTATTCACAGCCAAAAAGTGATTTAAAGTACTTGGCAGCAAAGGTTGAACACGAAGCAGAGAAAGGAGGGGTGAATCCTACACTGAGGGGCCCAGGTACAGTTCCACCTACCAAACAAAACGGATGTTTCATGAATCAGCATGATCCATCCAGTCCTTCTCATACATGGTCACTTTGCAAGGAGAGCAATATAACAGCCCCCTCTCATACTGGGAATTAGTATTTCAAGTGCCCTAGGCAGAGGATCAGGAGCTGGGAACTATTGTGGTTCTTATCCCAGCACTGACTCTAACTTGCTTTGTCACCCTGGGCAAGTCCCTTTCTATCCTCCTGCCTCAGTTTTTTCCAGCTGCATAATGGGACTGATGCCCCTAATTTATCTACTGACAAAACACTGAGAGGATCAATTAGTGGACAAAATTTGTCTTCTCCTGCCATGCCTGGGAGGTCCTGGATGGGGGGAAGAATACATGTGGTAACACTGAGACAGATTTCAGCACCATATGCATCAGTAAAGTGCATCTTCTGAAGCCAGTAGCACATCAGGGCACTAGATGGAGTGAAGGGCATAGTCAGAAGAGCAGTGGGGTCCTGGTCTCATGCTTGGTGGGGATCCAGGAATTGCTCTGCTGCTGCTTCATGACCTGATGGGAAAATTTCTTTCCCTGTGTGGAAATCCACTCACATTCTGGTTAGCTGGGGTCTGGATAGGCCTTTTATTGCTTTTTAAAGTGCTTTGAGGACCCAGCATGGCCCAGAAGTGCTAAGGCTGATTGTTATCCTGGCAGTTTATTCAGACTGGCTTGATCATCTTGGAATTGATTAGATAGCAAGAAGGATGGCCCCCTTCCCAGTTCAGCAATTCCCACTGATTCCCAGATGTGGCCCAGGGATGACCATCTTCCTGTGATGTGTTTTCCCAGTGCTGAGCATAGCAGGGTCCAGGGCTGTGATTGCAGGTACTGCTGACACACCACTGCTTTACCAATAAGCATCACCATAAATTAGGACAAGGACTATCCTTTTGCTTGGTATCTGTACAGCAGCAGCACAATGGGAACCTGGTCCTGCACTAGGTCTCCCAGGTACTACATGAATGTAGTTAATAACCAGTCTCTGCACCAGAAACAGATAATTAGCCAGTATGTCTATGTGGAAGGGGCAGGGATGACTAACTCTCCATCTCCTTATTGTAGCCAGAAAGTGAATACACCAGAAAGGGAATACACCTTTTAACCCCTGCTTTTGTATGTGACACTCAGTTTCAAGACACCTGGTAACTCAATGGTAGCTGGTGCATGATGCATTAGATTGCTGTTTTATGACTTAAACACTAGACTGTGCTTGCCACCAATTCTGCTGCCTGGCATTTCCCAAGAAAATTGGCCTAAAATTAAGATCCATTGTTCAAGTGAACTTAGAGAAAGAAGCACAGCAACTGGAAAAATTTATAGGACCCTGAATGGCTGCCAGACAGCTCCATTGCCTAGCAAATGCACCGCATAAATCTCCCAGCCCTTGTAACTCATGGTAATGTCTCCAAGTCTGGAATTAGTTCTACTGCTCTCAAAGGGAGGCCCTTCAACCCATCTAATATACATGCTGGAGCTAGGTTATGATTAGAAGCCCAGGAGTGATGCCAATCTATAGCAGCTGAGACTCTGTCCCCTCCCCACCCTCAACCTCACTCCTTAAACCCGAGTTCTGCAAACTTGCAATTGCATCTGCCAAACATGTATGTTATCAAGCCACTGGTGAACAAGGGGTTAATTTTAGCTTGGTTTCCTCCCTTCCTCTTGCTCAGGTACTCAGGAACAGGGAATACTGGATGTTTGGGGATGGAGAAGAAAAGTTGGGATCAATCACCTGGGATTTAGGATTCTGATGATCTCCAAGCAAGCTGATATCTTTCTATTCACTTTCTACATCTGGTGCAATATTCCACTGTTTAATGGTTCTTGAGCTGGGAACTATTGTGGTTCTTATCCCAGCACCGACTCTAACTTGCTTTGTCACCCTGGGCAAGTCCCTTTGTATCCTCCTGCCTCAGTTTTTTCAAGCTGCATAATAGGACTGATGCCCCACTGACTATGCCTGTATTTTGCCACTAAATCCTTCCACTATGATTCCCTTGGCCACGAAGTAGCCCTCAGAGAAGGTGAATGTTCAGTATATTCTAGAAGAAAGATGCCAATCTTAAACTACAGGATGTTTGGTCAGACTCAACCATGGGCTCACTCCAAGCTGTGCCTGTTGCTGCTTTCTGGTTGTGATGATGGACCCTGCAAGTGACTGCAGGAAAGATGTTCCCAGTGCTGCAGTATTTTTCCCATTGTCCTGATTTCCTGACCTTAATGAAGCATTAATATTCAGTGAACCTACTGGATCTATTCCTGTCCCAAGTGACCTGGTTTCTAGGCTGATAGATTATATGTGCTTTGCTGACTGCGCTCACTGTGCCATTAAGCATTTCACAGATAAATCATGATCAATCCAGGGCACAGCCAAGAGCTGACAGGTATATTCCTGGATCTGTGCATGGAACAGCAATGTCAGAAGCTAAGCAATCAGTGTATATGCTGTGCCACTTGCCTGAAGGAATGAAGCGCCTGCTCATAAGATGGGAATGGCGCTGGGAGAGATCCCGACCTTGGTTACACAGGGACCAATTGGAGGGTAAATGCTCCAGAGTATGCATGTGCATGTCTCACTGCAGTCTCCCTGGATTTAAATCAGCCTGGTGCAAAACCTGCTAGTGAGGTGATTCTAGACTGATATGGATGTGAATGAAGTTACATTGAATACCCAGCAGAATGGGGTGTACATGGCTGCAGCTCTAAGTAAGCGCAGGATCTGACCCTAACTGTATAGGTGCCAGTGGGATTACTCCAGATTGGTGGCAGTGTCATGGAGATTAGAATCTGACCCACTAAATTATGGTAGTGAAGGGCCTGGGTAAGGCTTTGCAAGGGCAGGGGCAGCATTTGGATTAGTGTGTGGACTGGAGAGTGAAATCTAGGAGTTACGTCAGCACTGGACTACAGTGATATAGGGGAACTGGAGAGATCCCAATCCAGACCTGTCCTGAAAGGGGGAAATTCTGACACAGAGGACGGGCCAGAAAACCAGGGGGTGTGCTGGGAATTCAGACTCCCCTTTCCTGCCCACCAAAGCCCCTTCAAGCCTCTCCATACTCACATCTGACGCCCATGCTGATCCTCCCTGGTGAGCACGCCCTCCTTCTCCATCAGCATCTGCCGGAAGGTTCCCACCTTCTGCCGGATCTCCTCTTCGGAGTACCTGGAGTGGAGCGAGAGGGAGAGTCAGGGATGCCATTGCCTCACTGTGAGCTCATGCAAGGGAACACACACCACCGCTGATGCCACCTCCATGCTGCCTCTGTGCCCTGCTCTTCCCACCATGCTTCTTACAGTTCCTCACATCCAGGACTACCTCCCTGGGCTGAGGCCCTCGCAGGCCCCTGGATGGGGTTTCCAATAGAGCAGTCAAGGGCAGATGTATTTCCTATAGGAAATGAATGTGAGGTTAAGTCACACAGATAGCACTGGGAACAAGCTATGGATATACAGGGTGCCTGAATCTCCATGTCTGGACATCTACTCTGCACTTTCTTTGTATGGCAGCACTCAGTCTGAGTAGTGAGGACAGCACACTACTGCTCAGTTGCATTCACTGGCCTTCTCTGTGTAGAGATCAGGCCTCAGAGGGTTCCCTGGCCTGCAGAAGGACACATAGTGCTACCCCTGTGGAGGACAGCACTACTCCACTGGCTGGCAGGTAGAGAGGAGAGCCACAGTATTAGCTTCTCCTACTCTGTACCTCACCGCACCATCTTTGGGGCACCATGGTCTGCAACACGGTGACTGAAGCATGGGGCTCATACTCTCATTGGTTCAGTGTCACCCAGCCCTGGCATGGACTCAGCAAAGTGAGCAGTCCCCTTTTCACCCTATACCCTGAGAAGGGTCAGATAAGACAAGCCTTGCTTCTTCTCTCCCTCCCTCCCTCCCTCCCAAAAGCTTCATTTCCTGAGACAGGGAATTCATGCTATAGACCTGTGTTACTGGAAATGGACTGAACCTTGGCATGCTCCAGGGGGCTGAGCGGCATCACAGGGTGCATAAGAAGTGCATTCACGCTGGTGGCAGACAAGGTTCTTTGGGTGGGACAGTTTCTGGGGTCACTGTCCCTGGGGAAAATTAGAGCAGTCCCTGGGCTGGGGCTTTGTTTGCTTGGGCCAACTCTGGGATGGGCAGAGGCAAGGTGTCACAAAGCCACCTTTATCCCTGCTGTCCTCCTGAAGCTAGCCCCAGGGCGAGAAAGTCAACAGTCAGCAGACCAAATCCTGGCTTCCCTACTCAGTTCAAACATCCACTGCAGCCTTTTGGAGTTTGCCCAAACAAGAGCCACAGGGCACAGATCATTAGCTTTGGAAGAGAAACATTCAGGCTAAGGTTTCTCTGGCTGCCTCGGGCTCCTGGTTTGCACCCTATTGAGTGGGGAGTTGTGACTCCAAACCCCACCATCACCTTAACTTCAGGGGCTGACTCCCCTGCATGCCCAGGCCACTCCCTCTTCCCTCCTGTCACAAGCCTCTTCCTTGTCCCCACATTGCATCTACAACCCAAGCAGGCTCAAGCTCTGCACGGATGGCACATGCTGACTCAGGCTGCTGGAGGCTTATTGACAAGAGACACTAATCACTTGGTGCTAGTGTCTGAAAACGGCTGGAGTGTCTTGCTGCAAACAACCACCCAGGGGACAGAGAGAAGCTGCCTAGCGTGGGCTGAGGACTCTTGAGAGAAAAATCAGCCTGAATTTAGAATGGGATGGTGCCAAATTCAAAGCATACTTAAAAAGCAAAGCAACCCCAAGCTTGTTATGGGTCAGGCTCATAAAGGGACCAGAAAGCCTCATCATTATTAGAAGAAATTTGTTCTCTTGCCAACTGTTGGTCCATTTAAGCAGCCGAGTCCATTTCCCTGCTTGATGTTTTGCCCCAGCTGGCCTATCCTGTTTGTTTATAGCTATTGCAGTGTTTTATACCACACTCAGCATTGCCTCCTCTGCCCTACCTGGCCACAGCGCATATTAGTCTGTGCTCTGCAGGCAGTGGGAACCACACTGCTTGTGTATTTAACTTAAGGACAGAGCAGACTGGCTCTTAAACAGGCCTTGGTTGCAAAGCACTTCACAATGCAGGAAAAGTGTCATTCTCCACATGTTGCAGTCAGGAAACAGAGGTATTTAGAGGAGAAACAACTTGTTCAAGGTCACCCAGTGACCAAACAGAACAAGCATCCTGATCTCAGCAGCCTGCTCTATGTGCAAACATAACCAAATTATCTCTCTGGGACTCCATTTTCTCTCCCATCCTTTGTTTTGTCCACTTATATTGTGAACTCATTGGGGCATGGACTATGCCTTACCAAGTGTTTGTGCAACATCTAGCCCAATGGTGTGTAGGGTCTGTACAGGACACTGGTCTCTCGTCCCCCAAGCCAGTGTCCTGCTGCTTGCTCAGGGGACTCTCTCAGGAGACTTGCTGCCTGTGTGGTGATCTCTTTCAAATGGAAGGTGAATGCAGCCCCAACAGTATTTGTAAGCACAGTTGAGGAGGGGATGGACAGGTTACCCAAAGGGGTTCCTCTTGCCCAGAGAGGAGTGGAGTGAGTGAGAAGGGAATAGTGAACCTTATTCAGACACCTGCATGCTGCCTGTGAGGAAGCACCAGCCCACTAGCAAAGACATCAAAGGAGCAGGTTCCGGACCAGAGGTGATAGCCAGCGATAGGTGAATAGAGAAATGGCCTGTTTCTGCCAGGAGGCTTCTGAAAATGAGGGAGAATCACCCCATAAATACCAAAGCCAGGACCACAGTGTGACTCTTCATCAATAGGGGAAAAAAACAAGGCCTGGGTTGATAGCCAAGGCAAAATGAAAGGGATAAACTGGCCAGATTCGGACCCCCATTTCATTCAGCCCTCAATGCCTGAACCATTCCTGAAAGGCTGTAGTGTGATGATGCTGTCTCCTCCTAATGCCAGCACCTCATGCTGCTAGTGCAGCTTCTAATGAGACCTCAGACTGCCATGTAATGCCTCAGAGCTGCCGCCACCGTAGCTCCTGGAGGCAGGGGGCTGGCTCGCTTTTTAGCTCCAGAGCAAAGGGCAGCAGGATATGGCACCATGGTCAAGACCCACTGAAGTCCATAGGGGTGGGGACATTACTGCATTATAACAACTAGAGAGAGTATATTATCATCCTCATATTAAAAGTGTGGAACCAAGACTTGCCCAAGGTCACTGGTAAGGTCATTTCTGAGTCAACCCCTTCCTCATGAAGTTCATTCACCCTGGAGGCAGGTCCTGCTGAGTGGGGAGGTCTTCTGGTTTGCTACCCGAGGAGATTCCACTTCTCTCAGGAGGTGCCAAGGGACCTTTCACCCCAGGCACAGGCTGAGGCATTCCCAGTATAAAATCCCATCATTGGGATGGTTTAACCTTGAGGGAGAGGCAGGCAAGCCTACTGGAAAAGCCCCAGCTCCCCCTTTTCTCCTCACCCCTGCACCCCATTCCCCCTTCCTCTCTTCACTCCTTCTCCACAGAGTCAAGTGCCACATCTCCCATTGCTGCTGCCTCCAGGCACTGTCTGCTGCTGTCTCAACGAGGCAAGCAGCAATGCATAGGTAACCTTGCAGCAATCCTAGACACACTGTCCAGATTGTTTATTTTACATCATCTCCTCAATTATTCTCTGAGCAAGTGACAAATGGAAAAGCAATTTCCCACTCCCGCTCTCCAAGCTGGGGACACACAGGCTTTCTGCAGGGCAAGTTTAATGGGAGTGTGTGACTCAACTACAGTCCATCATCCCTGGAGTTGTCTGTGCTCGGCAGCACCTCAGGGATTGGAGGCAGAAATCGTGAGCCATAGAGCTGGGCAGGAACTAGAATTTTTAGTTTGTGGGAAAATTAAAATTGTTTCCAATCAAAAACAAGGTATGCTCGAATTTTCCCATAGAGTGAAATTCTAAGGTGGGGAAAACTTTTAGCTTTCACTGAAACCAGGAAGGTAGTAAAGATAGGAGGGTAGTAAAATACTGGAACAGGCTACCCAGAGAGGTTGTGGAGTCTCCATCCTTGGAGGTTTTTAAGACCTCACTAGACAAGTCTTGTCTGAAATGATCTAGTTGGGGATGGCTCTGCTTGGAGCAGGGGGTTGGACTAGATGACTGCCTGAGGTCCCTTCAACCCTCGTTTTCTATGATTCTAAAATTCTATGAAACATTTTGTTTCTGTCATTGTAAAATGCCTCATTTTCATTTTGACATTTAATTTGTTCATATTTTTTATAATGTAAAATAGAAACAATTCTGAACGCTGTTTTACAACACAAAATCAAAACATTCATTCTGCGGGTATCCACATGGAATATTTTGACCCTAGTGAAATGCAGTCCTCATTTTTTTTCCCCCAAACAAGTTTGGTTTGGGCTTATCTGTTTTTTGTTGGGACCTTGTCTCATCTTTTCTTTCTCTCCCTCTCTCTCTATTTATCTGCCTTTTGGCTTTGATACTGACACATTTCTCTTTTCATGAGCTCAGTTTTTCTAGCCAAAAAAAAAATAGTGAGAAATTTTCAGACCTGCTGTAGTTAATGCTCTGCTCAATCTGGAAGAGGGAGCTTCTGCCCTCCACAAAGCAGCAAGAAGGTCACATAACACAACGCTCTAGTTGAGAGATGTAGAATTCAAAGAGCCTATGACTATACCAACACCTGGATTCAAAGGTTTTGAAAGTCACCATCTGTACCAGTCACATGCTTCATTCTGGTCTTCTCCCGTTCAGAGCACATGCTGTATCTGTGGGCTCCAAAGGTACCAGCCCGGCAGCCCTGGAAGCTGGAATTCTTAACATCCACAGACAGTCAACAGCCATCCCTGCCAGGTCACAGGTATGAACTGAAGTAGCTGATTATGGAAGGCCGTTCCAACGCCCATTCAAGCCTTGTCCTTTCTGGTGGGGCTGCCAGAAGGGTTCAATCAGTGACTGCCAAGGGGACAGTTTCTGAAGTATGGACATTGCTTGGCTTTAACAGGGTAAAGAGATTTCAGAGTGATTGGCTCCTCCTTTTAAGGATGAATTTCATCTGTTAAAAAATAGATGATTCAAAGAAGGGCTAAGAATCTAAACCAGCTTGTCACGGTCCTAAAACAAGAGGGCTGTAGGATGAACAAAGACCATCCTGGAAAGCAAGCTGTCTGCGAGGTAGGTTAGTTG